TCAAAAATCGCATTCGACAAATCGAAGCTAACGAATATGGCAGATTAAACTTTGACAAACGTTGTCAAAAATGGCATGAATATATCCAAGCGATTGAAAAGAAACTGACCGTGGTTCAAGAAAATCTTCCCACGAATTACCATGGTCTCATCGAAATCGACAAGAATCTTTCGAATATCGCAACTGACTTCAGTCAACGGCAGCAAGAACTGATTCAATTGATCAATGAAGGCAAACAGTTGGTAGAAAACCCAAGTAATTTCATCAAACTCGAACAACGTTGGCAAAATGTCATGAGAGCTGTTACGAAACAGCATGAAGAAATCAAAGAATTGATCAGGCTTTGGTTAGCTTATCAAACACATTTAGAAAGTAAGATTTTGACTCATCGTCAGAAATTCGTCAAAAGGCCTTCTCCGCGTAGATTATTACCGTTTATTGAGAAATAAATGTGAAAAACAACAGCAAGAATTACAGACTGCAAACATCAGTAAAATAGCCCAGATAAAACAAGGTTCATATGTAACGACGATTGACAATGATGAGTTGAAAGCGTTGCTGGACAAGATCTATGAAGCCAATCGACGTCTGATCAAACATTCCGATGTTAAAACTCAAGCTGTTCTGGAAAAAGAATGGAATGATTTGCAAAAATCTCTGCATGAAATTCAGATGAATATCAAACAGAAATGTGAAACTTTAGTTCAAGTAAGATTCGAAGTTCCTTCCCCGAGAGAAGTCAATCTTCTCTTCTTATAGCACCGAACTAGTTCTCAGAAGGAGAAGGTAATTGATAGCGCTAGAATACCATTCGCATGCATAGACTATGTACAATTTTTTTTAGACAGATCATCAATATTTATGCATGTTTATTGATTTTACTCCTTTCCGTTTCGCTTTTTGCTTTTCTGCTTGTCTCATTCTTCGATAGACTCTAGTCCACTTGATGTTTTCTAAGGATTTATGATTGAATATGTGTGTTTAGTCACTCCTTCGATTCAGTGAACTCGATCGAACGTTAGATGAACTGACGAATTTAGTTAAATCTGTTCGAACAATTCAACAGCAGCCGACCGATGATTTAACGCAATTTCTTCAACGTTGTCACGTAAGTTTCATATTTGACAGAAATAGAGAAACCCTAGAATTTTATTTAGAATAAAAATCACGAACTGACACAACGTCGGCCTGAATTATACCGTGCGCGACAAGCCATTTCTGAAGTAGTTTATCTCCTAATCTTTCATCACATTTCACTAGTTACCTTTTCAGATCTCTCCGGAACTACACTCCGAAGATACTCGACAGTTGATCCAAAAACTAAAGTAGATTCTGTGCAAATCCATACATTCCAGTAACAACTCTATTTTAGTCTATTGGAAATACAATGGGGTGATGCTGAGCGTATCCTGATCGCATTGATCGACAGTCTAACAAAACGCCGTTCGGAATACCAAGATTTCGAACAGAAGTCCCTACGCTTGATTCAGTGGTACGAACATTTTCGTAGCAGTGAATTGAATGAACGATTGAATGGATTAACACTTCAAGTCACAGTTGATGTTCTTAAAAATGATATTCGAAATCTTCTCGGCGAGAAACGACGACTAACAAATGACCTTCTAGTTCAAGCACGATTGTTACAATCTCAATCATCCGATCAAATATTTAAAAGCAAGATCGATCAATTAGAACAGATTATGAACACAACGGAACAATATGTCGAGAAGAAGTTTGTATTGTTGCGTTTTGATTAGTAACTGGAAAATGCGTTTTGTTGTTGTGTAGAATTAAGAAGAATGAAATGACATTGAAAATGTTCAACGATTTCGAGCACGGTACAGAAAATATTCGCTCTTGGTTAGATTTAGTCGAAGGAAATCTACAAAAACAACAATTGACGAATGATTTACCTGCTTATCAACAATTCCTTGCTGTAAGTCATTCTTTTCTCAAAAGAGATCGGCAATTGATAGCGAATCTTTAGTCAATCGAATCGGATATCGAAAACAACGGTCCAGCTGTGACTAATCTTCTCACACTTGGCCATAACTTATTACAAGATCCCGATATTCATGCACAACATGCAGATTCAATAACCCGTACAGTACAAAGCGTCGAACAACGTTGGAGAGCATTACGAGACTTATTGACAAAGCGACGATTCGAGTATATTATTTTTTTTCCAAGAGATTAGGATATATTTGTGAATTGTTTAGATTGGATAGCGTTCAAGATCCATGGCGAGACATGGACGAAGCGATCAGACGTGCAACTAGAATGGTTAGTGATCATGAAGAGGTCTTAGCTGAGATTAAACGGACAAGTGCTAATGGATTACAAGGTGTTCAAGACGAATATCGAAATCTTGAAGTTTGTGAAAATGATTTCCATTCTTCTTTTCATTAGTTTATATTCGTTTCAGAATTTACAACGTAAATTAGACAATGATGATAAGGATATTCAACAGATCGCCAAAGTCTACTCGGATATTATTCATACGCATCCAAAAGCAGATACCAAAGGCGAAAAAATCAGTCGTATTAAAGATCTGAGTCATCGCTGGGAAGTACTGAATAGTACAGTTCACGAATCAATGAAAAATGTAAGTTCGTTACTTTCGTTATCAAAACTGAATCCGTTTTATCCTCCAGTTGAAATACATGTTGAGTATTCATGGTGACTTTCAATTAACACAAGATTCGCTGGTAGTTTGGTTAGCAGATTTGGAAGTGGTTTTGACCAATCTCGAACATTTATCTGAAGCACCACTGAATAACAAACTACAACAACTAGATGTAAGATTGTGATGTGCATTCAGCGTACGAGAAGAATGTTTCGACTGTTTTCAGGATATCGAACGTGAAATTCTGGAAAAACTATCGAAAATTGAATATGTTCAAACATGTGCTAATCATTTACTTAATAAAACTGTTGATGCTCGCGGTTTAACGATTGATGTTAATCAGCTATCGAAATTTTGTCAACAACTGACGGATTTAATCAAACGTATTAAAACAATCAAACAGAAACTGATTAACGCAAATGACGTAAGAATTCAAATTGATCCTTTATTTGTATCATAACAGTATCTACTTCTATTTTTAGCGACATTTGGATTTGATGAGCGCATCACGCGCATCACCAACCCCATTACGTAGGATAAACTTGCCAATCTTCTACCTGGAAACATGACATTTTCCTTCTAGGACCTCGATCTCCCGTACGTCCGATTCGTCCTCGAGATCGTTTTCTCCGACCGTACGATCCATTAGACTTCGGCGATCGACTTCAACGTGCAGATGAACTACTTGCTGACTTCGAAGATATTCTACTGCAGATTAATAGTGATTTCCGTAGTAAAGAAGAAAATCTATATGCTCCCACACCCAGTGGTATGCAACTTGATCATTTACCGGATGATTTCTCCTACGTAAGAGCGTTTCTATCCGAATAATTAAAAATAGAATTTGTTATTCAGACTCGATTGTTGATCTCGACTCATCGAAAAATTGAAGCACTGGATCAAATACTCTCTCAGATACGACAAGAACTAGGTGCTTATTTAATACAAGATCTAAGCAACGATCCAGCAGTACTCGGTAGAACATCGATTCATTAGTTGAAATACACTTTACTTTTGTTGCGGTAGATATATTCACTAAATGGCCGCGTTTGCAACTGCTAGCTAGTAATAAAGATGAAGAATTGAGTCGCCATCGTCTGCAATGGAGAGATTTCAGACGACAATTGGATCATCTTGAACATGCTACTCAACAATTTTCGAATCTTGGCTATACAGGTAACTCTACGTTTCCGAATGTTAACACTTGTGAAAGTCATATATTTTGGTTTAGCATCTCGAACAACTTCTTTGAGACCAGATGCACAACAACAATTCAGTGAGGAATTTTTCGAAAGAAGAAGAGCTATTGTATAGTGAGCATTTCAGATGAACTTCAAACACTTTTACAATCAACAACGGATCAAGCCAGTCAGTTCAATGACCATTCCAATGAATGGGCTCTTGTTGATCATCGTCTTCAAGCACTTCGGGATAGGTTTCACAATCTATCGTCATCGAAACCTCGTGATATCAAAGTACGCATATCAGTAGATCTGCACGACTGAATGAAACAATTTTTTCATCTAATAGATAAGTCCAGAAGCAAATCGTGGTTTGATCGATATCAATTGCCAATTAGATCATCTTGAATTATTAATACATTCATTAGAACCAGTTGAAGATAGTGAAATCAATCAGAATGTTAATCGAACAAAACTTCATCGTTTTATTCGTATTCATGATGATTTAGAGATCTTACACGGTCGTTTGATTACTCTCAATGAACGTCCTTTATCGGCTACCACGAACGACCAAATACGTTTGACAAACGATTCGAAGTTCATCTTAGATCGTTTGAATGCAATGAAACGTGTGGTGAAAATTTACCTTGAGCAGTTAGAAAAATTCTTAGCGACACGAGATTTAAATCAAAGTCTAACATCGTCGAAACACTCTTCAGTGAGAACGTCGAATAATAATCTCGAAGTAATAATATTTCAATGTAATGATTAACAACTCTATTTTGTTCCTTCTTTTTTCTAGGGTCTCTATCAATGAGAACTTCTTTTAATATGACAGTTTTTGCTTGCATGCGCTTGCTTTTCTTTCTCTTTCTTTTTTGTGTAAACAAAGTGAAATCTATATACACTAGTTTTGAACAGAAATATTGAACTTGGATCTTTAGAGTTTAGTAAAGAATTTCGCATCAAATGAATACACCAGCATAATCTATTTCAAAATAATCTCGGGGTCGGCATTGTTCCTACAACAAATTATTCGAACTGAAAACTAGTTTGAATACTCCGGTCATCATAGCAAATTTTCAATAGCTACGACTAGAACGGATAAAAGATCAATGTGAAGGCTAGCAAGTTGTTGTTTTTATTTGTATTAACATTATATTTCAAGTCGACAAACGATCTCAAATAGAGAATTATATTCCGACTGCTTTACGAAGAAAATCCACAACGTAACTTAATAAGTTTTGTCCTGATGAGACACGTCGAATGTCTTCGTTGACTTCGATCACATATGGATGTTGAGGTGATAACGAACTACGATAGATTTCGGCAGCCTTTTCATAGTTCGCGAGTGCTTCTCGCCATTCACTCTTCTTCTCATGTATTACACCGATGCTGCTGTAGCTCTTGGCGATATCTATATGTTCATGAGGTAGGGATTTCTTCTGAATCTTGAGTGCTCCAGTATAATATTCCATCGCAAGGTCATATCGTTCAAGGGCATCATATATACATCCAAGATTATAATTTGAAGTGCCTATGTTTGGATCATCAGCTGGTATATGTTTCTTTCGGATATCCAATGACTTCTCATAGTAAGCAAGAGCTTCCGAATACTTCTTCTGATTCTGATAGATTATACCAATGTTGTTGTAGAAATGAGCCATATCTGAACGATCCTCAGCGTGTCCTTCCTCAAACAGTGTGATTGCTTTCTTATAATATTCCAATGCTCTTTCATTATCATTCTTTTTCCAGTGAGTCGTACCAATCAAATTATACAAATTTCCTATGCTGACATAATCAGATGAGTCGGTTTTCATATAGATCTCCAATGATTTCTCGAACCACTTCAGACTAGCATCATAATCACCTTTATCTTGAGTGACTATACCAAGTGACCAGTATACACATCCAAGCGATGGATCATTCGGTGGAAGTTCATTCAGATGACGCTGCAGCATCTTCTCTGCTAACTCAGGCTTTCCCATTCTACGCAACACAACACCCAAAGAACGAAGATCGACTTTACCATCACCACTTCCATAGTCCTTCTTCATGTGATCGAACAGCATCTTCAAATCATGTTCATTGTCATCACATAGTTGCATTTCAATCACCCACATATCGTCATCTTGATGAATACCATCCAAACGAAAGATGCATCCACTCATGAACAGCACCTCGCGTTCATTTGTAAAATAACTCAGTTTACTAACATCAGCAAATGGTTTTGACATCACTACAGCTGGATCAGCATCAATAACAAACAGCACACTATGTAGATCACTCGAACTACGGAGAAATGCCGATGTTGTCTGTCGATCGAGACTAGTTGAGAAAAAGGAATTGATCGATATAAGTTTACCAGTCGATCGTCGTAAGATTTCTAATTCATCACTTGACATCATCTGACCTCGATAAACACGAACAGGTGATGGTGATGCACATTGATGCTGCTTCAGTTGCCGATAAATGTCGTTGATCACAAAACGAAATAAAAACAGAATCTCAATGTTTTGTACTCGCAGTGCCTTGTTCAGCATTTTGTACACAAACGATCGACGCGTATACCACCAAACTGCCTTGTCACTTGAATATTCTCGCTTAAATTCATCTACAAAAGCGAGCTCACTGTGATTGTCATGAAAGTGCTGTTTGCAAAGTGTGATGAGCTGATCTTTATCTTTGTCATTCGGTTTCAATCGAAGAAGAACATCGATGAGAAGAAGTGAGTGAAGAAAATGACCATTGAGTTCAGTTGTGGACTGATCTGAAGTGCCAGTTCCATTGATAATATTGATCGAGAGTGGTTCTTCAGTCTTTGCTCGACTTTTCTGATCGGCTTTGATGTGATCGATGAGATCTTTGGTTCGCGTAATCACACTTTTCACCTAGAAAACATCAGATAAAAATGAGTGTATGACATAAGCTAGAGTAGTGTAGTACCTTGGTAAAGCTGTTTGCCCATTTTTCATGTGCTTGTTTATTCATACAGTAAACATAAATTGCAGAGACTTGTCGAAGTGAATGAATTTGAGGAACTAGTTCTCGACCATATTGACCACTGACAATGAGAACAAGTCGATCTTGTGAAGAAAGTGAAGTGACATAGTCATGACATTGCTGTTTGTCATGAAATGTTTTGAGGTGATTGATGATTTGTCGAAGCTGTTGCTGAGTTTGTTTATTCTCTTCTGTTGAATCGATTTGAGCACTGAGCCATGCGAGAGAAAATGTTTCTAAATTATTATCAGCTGAAGCGGACATGAAACTGAACGCGCTTCCCATCGATGCTTTGGTTATTTTCTTTTTAAAATGCTAAACTTTAACATGTACTTGTATTAATATATATATGAATGAAATGAAGTGTTGGAAAAAACCAAGGAATGTTTGTAGTGTGTACTTATTTGCTCTGACATATACTGTTTCCGAATAGTATGTAAATATTGATTTAGCACTATTTATATGTGCACGTAACTAAAAAAAGATGAAATATATGCCCTTTAATTAACGGTTGGTAATCGTCAAATTGTCTCCAACTACTGAGAAAACTAACACATTGACTAGGAATAGAAAAGGTATGATCGGTATTACGACATACTTGCTATATTATTATTGAAGTAAAATATATCTGTATCTAGTTAGCACAGATATGAATGGAGGAAATACAGTTTTCTTGAATGGTTTCCAATCACACATATTGTACGCCACAACATACTGCGTTGATAAAGGTTAGAAAATATGGTTATTCATAAGATAATGAGCACCCATAAAATGAGATACACTCTTTTACACATAATACAACAGACAAAAAACCCGTTATTTCAGTGCTTTTAGACGAAAGCTCTATTATTCGCCTGTTGGTTATCTTCAAATTAGTTGTATGTGTATACTGTAGAAATATATTGAAATTAAGCAAACACATCGTCGGTAGTGATCATATGAAATTCTTAATAACTACGAAGAATCTCTATAAAAAGTTGTCCTGCATTGTATCATTGCCGAAATCTCTTTAACGTTGTGCTCTGCATTCATCGATTACCGAACAAAACACATTTTCATGTGTTTATTATTGTTATCTTCATAAGTTTTTCATGCTTGAAAGGCGAAAGCAATAGATATATTTGCTTATGTTAACAAATACGAATGCTCTAATTAGTTTTTTATTTTCAATATAACATTCGTTAGTGATGGGTAAACATCAAAAGGCAAATACAATTTCTGCTATGAAAAAAAAAGTTATGGAAAACTTTCTCATGAAGATGCCACGAGAAAATCTAATATACTAATCCACATCGATTTCTGGATGTCTTTTTTGTTTCCGGGTGTTGTCTCTTTCCTAACTGACAATTTCTTTTTTTCCAAGAAATTGTTCATCAGCATAAGTACGAATAATATGGAAAGCAACATGCCGAAAATGGACGATGTTTATCGGATTAGAAAAGTCATTTACGACGCCGCTGCCGCTTCTTCTTGCTCTCTTTCTCTTCCTTTTTCATACTTGTGCCTATTTCAGCGTATCAACAAGAACAAGTCGTTAATGATCTGTAGAATACAATTGTAATGATAGTAAGTTTGTCATTGTCATTGTAATCGTTAATTTCTTTGATATGTCGAAATGTTAGATTAGAAGATTGTCTCATCATACGTTGGATATGTATGGTTGGTAATTGATTGATTGCATGAGAAAGAGAAACGGAAAAGAGAAGAAAGAAAAAAGAGAGATTTGTTTGAAATATAGAAAAACAGAAGAGGAGAGGAGTACCAAGTCAATTAGTTGTTGGTATTTAGATCACCCAGTTGAATTGAAATGAATGGGCACCAAATCATATCGATACATTTTCATGATGTTCCTGTTCAGTTCGATTCTCGCTGACAATTTTATCTATGTGGAACGACAAAAACTTGTGCTTAGTACTTTGTTTACGCATTCATGTTATCCATCGATCAAATTCGCCCTCAAACAAATTCAGTCAATACAAATGGACATCGACTTAGAACTGAACGAACGAGAAGACGTTACTCCTGTATGTATTCCATCTAGGCACCAATTCTCATCTCTCTTCCGTTTAGTGTGATGTCGGTACTAGTGTGAAAGTTCTGTTCGATATGATTAATCAAACCACATCGCTGAGCGTTCTAATGACAGATGCGTGTCAGGCTGTTCTCAGTTATATAGCTGAGGCTGCAACTTATTTTCATCTACCTGTAGTGAGCATTCATTTCCAATTATCATCGAATGTTTTTTTCATATCTGTCAATTTAGTTTTCTTTTACAGATAGTGATTTATCATTATCCGCAACAGACCGCTATCCATTTGTTTACCATTTAGTACCGTCTGATCATGCTCATAATTTAGTGCGTAAACAGTTATTGGAATATTTCAATTGGACACGATTTGGATTGATCTATCAGCATGGATCGAAATATACCCTGGTGAGTTGTCATTCAACAAGAAAACTTCGCTAAAAATAGGTATACTGTTTCCTCCCGTTCGTATGGCACAATTTCATTAGTGACATTTTGTTTATATAATTGCGAATGCATGCGGCTGACCTTGCAAATAAACAAATCGATCGGGATAGAAACCAGTTGAGAATAGACTAACGTCAGAACTAAACTATTCTTGTATGACAATAGTCGACACGTAAAACCACTTCCTTGCATCGCATGTTGCAGTGGTAAATTATCATCTGCGTGTGTGTGTGTTCTATTTAGATAGCAAATGATTTTTCTGATTTAACGGTAATGGATAAGAAACAATGGGAAATAAATATCACACGGGGCATACCGTACCGATACGGATCCGAATGGCAAGATGACAATAAGCAAAATGTGAAAACGCTACTGAAAGATTTCAAAGTAGAGTTTCGTTTTTTGATAATTGAGAATGATCGTTGTTTTTAAAGGCGAGGGATGTTCGAATAATTGTTGCTAATTTTAATCAAGTCATTGCGACCCAGATGTTCTGTCATGTAAGTCATTTAATAAAGATCGAGATTTAGTTTGTTGTATGCGATCAATAGGCTGCTCGAGAGCATGTTTATGGTTCCCGCTATCAATGGATCATACTTGGCTACCCGTCGTTGTCAGCTTGGTGGAATGAGAAAAGCGATTGTACAGAGCAGGAGCTCATCCGAGCGATCAATGGAACATTTCAGACACGTGTACCACGTTTCTCCATTGACGATACCGAAGTAAGAAATAATTGAATAAAAACTTGTGCGAAGAATCGTTTTCTGTCGAAGGAACGACCAGAACATGTTCTGAAGTACTTAGAACACTTTTCTGATCTCGAAAGAAATTACTTTGATGCTTACGCTTATGATACAATGTGGAGTTTAGCATATATTTATCAATCGAAAGTGTTGTTCAATCAATCGAATATTCGAAAAATTGTTGATAAAATCGATTTCTTTGGTGCTACTGTAAGAAACGTTTTGCATCGATAATCGAAAGTTGATTGTTCGATTTAGGGAAGAGTGAGGTTTATGAATAGCGGACGAGTGGGTGAAATTCTCGTAGAACAATACGTTGGTAAGCGAAATGTGAAAATGTATGTTTGGTGAATGTTTTTTTTGCAGCTTGTCGAATGATGAAAGATGGATCATGTAAAATTCCTTGTTACGAAGAAGATGAGAATTGTAACTTAACCGTTGTGAAACTTTTTCTCGCGAAGAATTCGGACTCGAAAACCGAACCACCTGTTTTACACAAACTAAACCCAGTCATGTGGCACGGTTCGTACTCACGCTGAATCGTTTGCAAACTTTAGCGAAGACAAAACTCTCTTTAGGAAACACTCCAACGACCGATCGAACGGACCAAATCGTTCAATTTCAACATATTTATCTTTCTGTATTTCTTTCAATAACAATCTTCAGCGGAATCGGCTTAATTATATCCATATCCCTATTCGTCTTCAATATTCATTATCGTTCACATCGATACATACGAATGTCCAGTCCATCACTAAATAACATCATCCTATGTGGATGCATGTTAGCTTATGTCACCACTATCCTAATGGGTGTCAATTCGTCGCTATTTCCACAAAAGAGCTATACAAACGTGATTATGAATATCATTTGCGCAGTACGTAGGGCTGAAATATGGCAAAGAAGAATAAAGAATATGTATTTAGATGCGAGTGTGGCTTTTGAGTATTAGTTTCACTTTGGCGTTCGGCTCGATGTTCAGTAAAACGTGGCGCGTCCATTCGATTTTTACCAATATTCATATAACTAAAAAGGTAAACGAAAATTCGAAACTTCTGCATAGATATCTATTTTGTTTTTCGCTCTTTAGGCAATTCATGATTCGCGATTACTAGCAGTAGTTGGTACATTGTTGTGTATTGATTTATTCTTTTTAATTTTCTGGCAAATCTTCGATCCTATTCATCGAAAGATAATGCACGATGACCCATATACGCACGAAGTACTTGCATTTGATAACAATTCATCCTACATTCTCGAATCTTCTTGTAGCTTAATGAAGATATTCAAATCCAACCCTACTACGAAGTCTGCAAGGGTGAATTCACTTCAATTTGGCTTCTTATTCTCATTTTATACAAAGGTTTGCTAATGGTAAGATCTCTTATAGCTGAAATCGACTTCTGTCAAACATCTATGTAGTTCTTTGGATCATTTCTCTCGTGGAAAACTCGCCATGTTACGATTCCAGCTCTGAATGATTCGCGATACATAGGTTTAAGTGTATATATTGTATTTATTTGTTGTACACTGGGCTCATTGGTTACATTTATTCCATCTGAACAAATCCAACTTTCTTACTTACTTATCTCAATGTTTATTATCATTTGTGCAACTTCCACGCTAGGTTTTGTATTTGTACCAAAAGTATGTGCAGCGAATCTTTATTTGATGGAGACGAAGAACGTCAGAAATTTAGATCATCGAAATCTGTCGTGATCCATATGCTAGGCGAAGACATCAGAAAACAATAGGACGATTTCTACATGCTAGCTGTCGGTCGATGTTATTGACGAAGAAACATCTGAATAATGCCATACTGGATAATCATCAACTGAACTATGTCTTTGCCATGGTAACGTGGAAAACAACTAGAGTTTGTTCAGAACAATCGATGTCTGTGGGTTTTATTTTGTAGCAAGAACAAACATTAGAACGATTGAAGGAGCAATTGAAAGATTGCTCGATGAAGAATAGTGACAGTGTCGGAGGATCTTATGAATTCGAACGATTGGTTGCTCGAAATGATGGAATCGAAGAAGAAGATGGAAATTTCACTTTAGACGACGATGATGACGACGAAGAGAGTATCATTGATCATCTGATGGTAGATAACGGGTACGTTTTTTGTTTGTTATGAATGAAGTATGAACATTTACGGATGAATTCTAGTCGAACATTTCAAGGAAACGTGGCTCGAGCGGTTAGTTTATGCCTTTTTAATAAAATTCATTCGGCACAAATTTATTGGCCGGAAACCGTCGGTTCGAGACGTGTGTCGATCTCTCAACCTGAATACACCGAAGATTTTTGTCTACAGTCCACTGTTATATCTGGCTCGACTGAATTCGAACATGATTATGACGGTTTAAGCAATCTAGATGTCAATCGTTTGGAACAAATGCGTGAAACTGATCTTATTTATTAGAAAAACAAAGGTTTTTGCTTGATTAACATTTTTCATGATAAAATTTGTTGATATCTTCGTAATAAGTCACATCTTCTCGACGTACTCTAGTTAACCGTTCGCATAATTCACACATTCGAATTCTTTCCAGTGCTTTCCCATCGATAATTACATCATGTGTTTTTCTCCATTGATGATATTTGGCGAATAAAGTCAAATTTAAATGAATTTCTAATAAATAATTCGCTAATTTATTCATATTTCTATTAAAATCATTCAGATGTATGAACGAATCAGCTGGCGCAAATCGTTCGTAATCTTTCCGCTCGGGTCCGTAAGCAATCGGGATAAGTCCATGGTAAAATGCTTTGAAGAACTTCTCTGTGATGTAATCTCGACAGGTAATCGACTCGAAACTGAGATAGTATTTGAACTTCGACATATAATCAATTTCACATTGACTACTAGCTGCACATAGATGCATCGGATAATAATCAACACAACGACCATAACCTTCCACGTAGACATTCGTTTCTCGACGGAGATCTTGATAGTATTGTAAACGTTCTCGAGCATCACAGTTCGAGACAAACCAAAGTGCGGCATTGGATCGATCACGAAACTGTCGTTCAATCCAAAGACGATGTTCAGAATCTAATTGTGGAACATTTCGTTTTTGAAATAAACCATACGAACCAATGGAAACTTCACTATTCAGTTTAAAACTTATCGTCCAATTGAATCTATAGTCTTTGAACAGACTATAATCAACCATAGAATGCGGCTCATCAGACCAGAGTATCCATATGGCGTCAGACTTAGTATCTGAACGTTTTGGCATTTCGCCTGGATAGTATTGCATATCGTATCCGTGGAAAATAACAGCGTCAGCTTCATTGAGTCTTCGAACGTCACACGTCCATTGACAGCGATGTTTTGATGGGCAAGTTTCACCGAAGATATGCTCAATTTGCTTCAACCTGCAGTACTTTTTAGTAAGAAAAATCGTCGTGTAGAGAAGGATAAGAACCGGTCTCGTTGATGAAAGTTCTCCTTTACCATATCTTCTGAATTTTACTTGCTTCGAGAATGGATCGTCAACAAGGATCTAGTAATCACAAAGTTCTAGGTTATTTTTACATAGAAGCCGTATAGCCATTACTTTTTCTTTTTCTTCTAAGATTTCAGAAATACCCTCCCATCGAATATCTTGTCGAATCATTAATTTGTCATATCGAGATGCAAACGGATTAGGTAGAAGAAAAATAAGAAATAGAAAAGCGAAACAAAGATAGACAACCCATTTGCATCGTAATTTGCCAAGATGAAATGAATATCGACGCCGCCAAAGCCAAAGAACTGATTGATGTTTAGGAGAATATTTCGTATTAGGCAACATGCGTCACAAAAATGACATATCTATACCTCTTATGCAGACATATCTGTTCACAACACGCGACTCTACGCTCCAATGCATCTCATGCGAGAGTATCGGTACAAAAAAAAGAAATGTCACACTTCATGCTTGATAAGTGCGAACCCATATACAAAAATTGTGTAATAACAATAATGATGGAGTTGATAGATGTGCTATTCAATCATCATGTTTATATTTTTTAGTGCTTTTCATTAGAGTTCGGAAAAATAACCAACAAACGAAATGGATCAGACTCGTCCCGGATACCGTTTGGCACGACGGTGGGGCAGTTGTCACTAAGCATGAGTATCATACGTGACTGAATCATCATTTTCTTCGTTTGTGGTAAGTAAATACCCCTACAGAAGATTGACTTTTCTTTCGTATTCGTGCTTCATTTATACCTCATAGAGAAGCAAAATACAATGGTGAAGAACTAAACTAAATCTTCAATGATGCATCAGCCGACATGTAACGCCATCTGCTCCAAATCATTTTCGACAAGTAAATTTACAACTAGATATTTTATTGAAAATAAAAAACATATCATGAAACAGCGCGAAATCGAATAGAAGGTGTTCAGTTAAAGTTCGTTTTCCTCTTCGAGCGTATCACAAATCAATTTGTATTGATCTCTTGCTTCAACATCTTTGGTCAAATCGATGTTCAATTTCGTTGAAGTCGATGAAAACATGTAAACTATCAGATAAACAACGATGAGAACAAATGCATTACCAGCCAGATGATATGCATAGCTCATTGTTAACAACGAAACTGATCGATGTGACTCGGGATCCCAAAGGAAATATGGATTTGTTGTTTTAGGCCAGATGACATACGCAGCTTGAATAAACCATGTACCTTGTGTTAAAGCAAAGAAGCTTCGTGCAACAATTAACCAGAAATTATTTGGATCGAAACATTCGCCAAGCGCTCCAACCATTGAACAACAAATAGTTAGTGCAAGTAATTGATGGATATGCGCATCGATCATGCTTCGTGCATGTAAATGAAAAACCATCATCAAACCTTCAATACCAAAGGCTAAGAAGCCCATGACTTGAGTGATTCGTTTAGGCAATGGAACTTTGTAATGAACGAGGACTTCTATCCAAGAGCCGAGAAAGAACCCGAATAACATAGCTGTATGATGAGCATTTTCATCGCCGAGATGAGGTCGTGGTTTACTATCGTAACCGGTTATGATTTCAATCGAGAAATGTATGGAGGTGATTAGAATTTTCATGATACTTTCAATCGGTAGACGACGAGCGCGTTTACCCGACAAACAAAAGCATGGATAAGTTGTCGAACCAGAAAATTTTGTTGGTGCTCTACTTTTCTCACCATGTTCATGCACCAATGATCGAAAGTAGCGCAGGCAATTATTAATATGCCACCATAAGGCGAAGATAACAAAAAAGACACCTAAATAAATGCAGATTATAACGACGAATCTTTTCCTAAGACGAAATTACCTGGCGCAATGTGACCTATCCAAGTCCCCATGTCGATTCAACGGTTTCTCGTTGGTAAAAGTAATAGCTTCTAAAAGCAATTCAACTATTCTAGCAGATATATATAGACGCATTAATGCTACCACCGAGTTGCTAATATAGAAGAAAAAACAGGTAACAATGTTGCTTAGCCACGATCAAAATAGATTGTGTCATTCATTAGCAATCACCAAATTCTCTCTCTCACTTTCTCTTTCTCCCTCTTATACCAGAATGGAATATGAAATTGTTTTCTTTTCTCGGTAAGCGATTTGATTGACATTCTTACATTGAGCAAAATATGTTTTAGTTCGTGTGGAGAAAGCATCCAATGGCCTTGACTAAAACGCACTCGGCTCGCAATTTATAGGCTATGGCAACCATCGGAAGGTAAAAAATATACACGAGAGATCAATCAATGCGGCACACTCCTATATTACTATTACGAGTGGATTCGGCGTACTTTCAAAGTGTGCTCACGTATCATAGTCCAAAATACGTTGAAAAAGAAAGTTGTTTTAACACATTCAAAGTTTAATATAGTAATAAATCGATCAGAGGCAAGGGAAAGCAAAGACATTATTTTGCTATGTCATACGAGTAAAAGCTTTTTATTGTTTATAATAAATACTTGTCAATGTCGAACTGATGACGATGCAAAAATTTACTTATTTTATTATTCATATTCGCGTAGGAGAAACGATCTTTCGCTTCATTGCACGGAAAACATAAATTATGAATATCCAATACGAAAACAATTTTATTGCGTGTTTAACCAACTTTATTCGTAAATCTTTCATATACACAAGACGAAAAATAATTGATTCGCATCATTGTACGACCCACTAGGTCATTGTTTTCTAAAAGAATGAAGTTAATAGGTGTAGAATTAGAAATAATCTACTTTATATTTCGCATAGGACGATATGGTCGATCGAATGTAAGACGATGTGCTGTTTCGCACTGGGTAATGATGTGATGCATCGGTAGTTTGAGATTGAGCGTTTGACGATTCTTCGAGATCTTGTCAAACAATGAAAAACATTATCCGAGGATTAGTTTTGATATAATTTTACTTCGGAGACTTTTCTTGTAAAGCGATCTTCCATGCGCAAATTTCTTGTAATTCATTGGCGTATGAATTTCTTCACAAATACATGTAAGTAATTCATCCGCTTCTTTCTCGGTCATATGAAGCTTTTCCTACAGACAACATTCGACGTGCTTTAACGCGAATCAATGGATTTCTTACTCTTGCAGCTAAACGCATGAAATCTTCTTTAACAACTGTCCATGATTTCGTTAAATCCAACGTTCGGAATAAGTCTACCAATCGCCATTTGTTTTCAGCTAAAAATTCTTCGATTCGCTTCATGGAAGTCGCTGGTGGAATGCGAACGGTCTGTTCACGTTTGCGATTCTTGTTTGATTTCGACAGGCTTTCCGGCTCTTCTTCGGTTTGAACAGCTCGATGAACACGTGTCATGCGTTTAATCACTCGTTTTTCGAAATCATTCAAATTTGGTTTATGTTGATAATAATCAACAATGTCTCCGAAACGATCAAGCTCACGACGTTCGTGTTGACGGTCAACAATCCATTGAGATTGATCGATCACCGGGTGAACATACGACTCGAATTGCTCGTCAGCATGATCCAGCTCATCGTACTCGGTGAGAACGTTGTTTGTTGTTGGTAATGGCTTTAAACGTTCGTCGTTTGTCGAATAGTCTGCAGCGAGAAAAATTCGTCTTCGAACACCTTGGAAGTCACTAGCAACGAAAGGGACGATGCTTGCAAATAGAAAAACAGTGCGTGCATAACATACAATAAATCGATGGGTTTAGCATGACTGGAGGAGAGCAGCATGATATCTAGTAAGAAACTGAGCATGATTGTGGTTTTTTATCATTCACTTGAAGAAAAAACTCGTCGAAAGTTTTTTTTTTATATAAATATCATTCAGAACAAAATAGAAAAATGCAAAATTGATGGAAGGCAGTATATAGCAGAGAAAAGAAAGCACCAAATGCAATTAAGATGAGACATGACCGGTGAGATATAATTGTGTTCGTTGTTCTGTACGAAGATTTTGTGGTTTTAAACGTTCGCTAGAATGAAATGAAGTGATGGATGAAACGAGAGTTTGGAAAGAGAAATTTACTTGAGCAATGCTTCACCGTTTGCGGTTGTGAAACGTTGGGTTGTGGAACAGAAACCGATACCTTTTCGTTTTGATCGTTTGCGTCTGTCGGCGATTGTTTCATCCCGAACTGGTGAAGCTATATTGTATCGACCAACACCGACTGACTGAAAATTATGAAGTTAAATGTCATGAAATACCGGATGAACGAGATGAACATACATTCTGACTGCCAACATTTGTGAATGAACGTTTGTCATTTCGGGATGCAGTCATATTGAATGGAACTTTCTTCGTGTGAAAATCGTGTTCTTCCCACGGACGAACAGTAGCATAAGCGCCAGGGCCAGGAAAAGTGACATTTTTGGGTTCTAGACCTTGAGTATAGATATTCTATAGTGTCTGCTCAAACTGTTTTTACGAATGAAATCTACCTGGATGTTCAATCGAGATTCGATCAGTTGGTTTTTTTTGAAAACGATCTAGTTTACTGAATAGTCCATGTTTCTTTCGTTTTTCTATTTGTTTGGCTAACGAAATCGATTCTGGATATTCTTTCGATGGAAAATCTGGTTGAAGATCCCATGTATCTAATAGAGAATAATGGCCGGTTTTGATCGGTGCTGAACGATTGATAGTAAAGACTTGGTAAGGTCCTTTGTCACTAACACGTTTTTTGACTAATTCATCAATAGAACTTTTGATATTGTAGGTGCCTGGACCGATCTTTGTTCCCTAGAAGTCCCCAAAAAAGATCTTCCCAAAAGAAATCATCGGATAGAATTGAATTTACTTGAAGTGGTAATGATCGAGGACCTTGTCTCCATTCAAATGATGGTACTGTACTACCCTGTTGCCAATATTTTTCCGTGATTTTCTCATCCGGAACACCATAAGTTGCTGGTGGTGGTGCTCTATCCTATTTGTTTGAAAATAAAGTTTGTGAAATACAAAGAGATAAGATTTAGCCTACTGATGGTTCTTTTGGGAAGCGAGGAGCTAATTGATCGAGTGCTCCTCGCTGACACACTGGTCTTCGATCTGCTTCCGTAAGGAAATCACCAATATCATAAGCACCGGGACCCAAACGGCGTTCATCTTCTTTACGTCTTTCGTATGTTTCCTTAAATGATGAGAGAGGAATCTTTGCCATCTGTTCTGTATACAATCCTTGTTGCCAATTAGGTCCTTGAATGTTTTTGACCAGCGTTCTCTCACTGAAATCCCCATACGGCATGAGTTCGTATGTGCCAGGACCAACATTAGGTGTACTCTGTATTTGAAGGCGTGTTAACATTTCGGGATGTAAACCCATTGTTTGAAACCTGGGTGTTTGCACAGAAAACCCTAATGGATGAGGTTGTTGGACTTCAGCTGTCGCCATGCTGGTTATTTCGATAAATTACTAAAACAATATGTATATCTGAGTCCAGTAAGATATCACTTAACGAATAGGTGTCAAATTACAAAGAAAACAATTCTATTTTTTCTGTTATTTCAATGATATTCGCGTTTACTTTGTCGGTGCACTTCTAAGTGATCGAATATTATTTGTGAGAAAACGAGAAAGATTATTTTTTCTTAATTTTTACTCAAACATGTATAAACATACTGTTAATTTCACCATTGCCAAGTCAGTAACATTGACATTGGCCTCCGACATTTTCCAATTGTGTTCGTTCTGTCTGCATTACTGCTCTACGAGTCCACATTTTGCTAATCTGACCTCGAACGTTGTACCGAGAGAACAGAAACATTATATCGCGCCTATTATTATTCTTATTTTTCAAGCTTTCTCGAACGTTCGTACTAGAAATCAAAACTCTCAACAAATGGCTGAATCGACTGCTAAAGCTAGTATTAGTAATAAATTAAGTATCGAAGACCTTGATCTTAAAGGTAAACGAGTATTGATCCGGGTTGATTTCAATGTTCCATTGGACAAAGAAACTGGTCAGGTGAAAGATAAACAACGTATTGAAGGTGCATTACCGACAATCAAATATGCACTCGACAAAGGGGCTAAAGCTGTTATCCTTATGTCACATTTGGGCCGTCCAGATGGCAAACGCGTCGAAAAGGAAAGTTTGAAACCAGTTGCTGAGGAATTACGAAAATTACTCGGTAAAGATGTCAAATTTCTCAACGATTGTGTCGGCGACGAAGTAGAAAAAGCAGCCAGTGAAGCTGACAACGGTCAAGTTCTTCTACTTGAAAATCTTCGATTTCATTTGGAAGAAGAAGGTTCAGTTAAGGACAAAGCTGGAAACAAAACCAAAGCCGACAAAGATGCAGTCGATAAATTTCGAGCAAGTTTATCGAAACTCGGTGACGTTTGTAAGTTTCAACTGTTTGTTACGAGAAGGATGACTCAGTTTCGATTGTTTTGTAGATATTAATGATGCATTTGGTGCAGCTCATCGAGCTCATAGTTCAATTGTTGGTGTCAAATTAGATCAACGTGCTGCAGGATATTTGATGAAGAAGGAATTGGATTATTTTGGAAAAGTTCTAGAAAATCCCGAACGTCCGTTCCTCGCTATTCTCGGTGAGTTCTCCCTAAGAGCAAAATAACCAACAGTTGTTTTTCTCTTGACAGGTGGAGCTAAAGTTTCGGATAAAATTCAATTGATTGAAAATCTTCTCGATAAAGTCAACGCCTTAATCATCGGTGGAGGTAAAGTTTCAAACATTTCTACGAAATCGAACGATCATCCTTGGATAGTCTTTTGTAGGTATGGCTTTTACTTTTCTCAAAGAAAAGGATAACATGAAAATTGGCAAATCATTATTCGATGAAGAAGGCTCAAAATCCATTCAAAAAATTCTCGAAAAAGCCAAATCAAAGAATGTCGAAATCCATCTCCCCGTAGATTTCATCGTTGCTAAAGACGTTAAATCAACCGAAACGAAAGAAGCTACCAAGGAAAGTGGTATTGAAGATGATTACCTGGGTCTTGATATCGGCAAGGAATCCGTGAAACAATTCAGTGAAGTTGTCAAGAAATCCAAGACCATTGTCTGGAACGGACCGATGGGAGTGTTCGAACAAGATCCATTCGCTAGTGGAACAAAGGATTTACTCAAAGTAGTTGCTGAACAAACCAAAAACCAAGGCACAACAATCATTGGTGGAGGTGATACAGCTACTGCTTGTGCCAAATTCGGCTTTGGTAGTCAAATGAGTCATGTTTCAACCGGAGGTAAGACGAACGGATTGGTGATTTCCAATTTGAGATAATCGAACTTTCGTATTGATTTCAGGTGGTGCAAGTCTCGAGCTTTTGGAAGGAAAAGATCTTCCCGGTGTCACTGGCCTTAGTGACAAATCGGCTAAATAAATCCAATATTTTATCTTTTCTTCATCTTATTCGACTGTCTAGTCTAGCCCTGTGAAAGCCTCGCCATTTTAGTTGTTTTTTTAGTGATCCATTACGAATAAAAACTAATCTATTGACGTAGATCGACTAAACAACCTGAGTGTACTCCGTTATATCTGAAACGAAATTTTCGGAAGTGAAATTAACATTCAGCCAAAAAAAGACTGTCGACAATGGAGACTTGTTTTCAAGTTTTATTCATAAGAAATGACGACTAATTGACTATTCATCTATTACCATAATCGTTTCACCCAAGCATATGTGCATTACGAAGTTACAAAAAGGACTAAGGACTGCCACCTGGAGACGTCAAACAAAAAACAAAGACGCATCAGTGAGCAATCGTCTGTCATGTTTTTAACCGAATTCACCGAAAAGAATATCCCGTAATGAATACTCTTCCTCGGTTAGACATTCCTTTCTCGGCACAAATACATTTGGGTCGCTAATGTTTGGCGTGATGTCTAGAAATGTGATTTGTGATCGTCCGTAGTTATGACTGTATCAGACAATATTCACGGGAAAACAGTGAAGATATGTCCACGAACCAAACTCTCGAACAGTATCGTTGGACGGTGACGTATAGTTTCCACTCCTATGAACAAAACTATTTTAGAGTCGAAAGAACGACTTACACTACTCTCACCATAGTGAAACCAGAACACCCAGCTCGGGTATCACACCAGTACCTACGTAAGCTTCGCCGTACGATTGAGGATCCGGTCGGATACTGAAACCATGCCATGGCCGAGTTAACGGACAACGTGTACAGTTACGAGCATTTAAATCGTAGATATATTCTATTTTTGTATCGTACAAGGCAATCCGATCGTATGAGGCATTTCGATGCCCGACGATAACTTCTTCGAGAATTCGTTCCCGATGATTCGTAGCATCATAACTCAATCGACCGTAGACTGTTGATTTTTGTTGATCGTTCGTATCGAAAACATATGATTCCCATTGCGGTGGTGTTCGACATGGACGCGGTTGTTGGGACACTGCAGAACTGATGAAAGCAAGTGCGAAAATAAGGAACATTTTGCATGCCGCTCGTTGGGGAGTGAAATCTATTTATAGAGGTGAATAGATATCAACAGTCGATATCAAAGTAAATAGCTGCATGCGAAATACAGATAAACAGCGACTGTTCTTGTGTATAACAAGAGAACTACAGATCACATATCTTCATGAATTAATTTTTATTAAATACGAAAATACTTTTTCTTTAACAAGAGAAAAAACATGAATAGTAATAATAGTAATGAAGATGATGATGATGAGAGAGAAACGACAAACTCTAGCACATATACAATAAATAAGAAGTTTCTTTTTTCTTTTCAGAAAATATTTACAGTTAAACAGAAAAAGCAAAGAAAACGATCGCACATCAAAATAGAGAATGATTGAGTTTTTTTGTCTTATTTTTGACACACCGTACTGATCAGATCATCCGAACAAAGATAATTTAAAATAATATCATAGTCTAAACTACTGTCATTATTAGATTGATGATCATTGTTACCTCTTCCACCTAAATAGGTATCAGCCAACACTTCAATGTCGTCAAAGAGGGTCTAGAAAATAAACGAAAAACAGATATTCACTACCCGTCCGATGCATACAAAGTTCAGTTCTTACAGATGTAATGTCATCAGTTAGATAAAGATTTGCTGGATCTTGTAGAAATGCAGTTAATTCATCAATATTTTGTTCATTGGGTAGTCTCGATGTAGTAGGTGTTGAAGGTGTCTGTGGAAATGAATATTGAGGATGAGCAACACGCGGAGTACCGACACTCTAAAACAACCGAGAAAAAGGATCAGATACTTTATCGGGGGAGGGAAATTTCTTCTTACCGGCGGTCCCGGTGTCAATTGTCGATCAGCTGTATCTCCACTTGGACACAGTGCATCTGTCAACGAATTCACTGAACTTGGTTGTCCTTGATGGTACGGCACGCCGAAATCTGCATTGGCATTAAATTCACCTTGGTAAGGAGTGCTTGGATTACTTGGTGGACTAGGAAAGATTTGAAATTGATTCGGAAATGTTGGATACTCTTGTGATATAGATGACGATAATGATGGTGGCTGTGGTGGTAACTGTTGCGCCGAGACGTAAGAATTCGAACAAACTGATGGATGGTAAGATGTCGACGGTGAAGAGAAGAAGTCATCAGCATTTGGTTTGATCTTATTCTTCATTGGCTCATGTTTATTTGAATTGGAATTTGCTTGATGAGAGATGGGCTGAGCTTGTGGATAATAATTTTGATAGTATATTTGTTGTTGCGGTTGCTGCTGTAGGGGTGGTGGTGGGGGCGGAAGAGGTGGTTGATTTGGATAATTCATATGTGACGTATTATTGCATTGATATACAGAAGCAGGGGAATGAGTATACATTGTAGGTGAAGGGTACGGCATTGAACGTGCGCGTGCGGCATGCATTTGTTGTTGACCAGCATTATATGTTGCTATGGGACCGGATGTCGATTTAGCTGTGATTAAACGTTGTTGATGTGGAATTTGTTCCATGTGATTGGGTGGATAAGAAAGAGGAGTATAGACATTCTTTAAAAAAAAAGAAAAGCTTAATTATCTATTTTAGAAGTTCTAAAATATGCGAACTAACGGAATTCGTATTCGCTTTCATTGGCATCGATGTCTGTTGATATGAATAAGGCTGTTTGACTTCATTCATTGGATATGGTGAAGGTCTTGTACGCATTGAATGATAACTATGCATGGGGCCAATAGTATTCATCGACATTCTTTGCTGTTGCTGTTGCGATGGTGTAGGAGGTGGTAGTGTAGGTTGTAATGGAATTTGCCAGTCATCCATTGATGAGCAAGTTGTTTAGTTTTTTCCTTTTTTTATGAAAATAATCGACTAAATCATCTAAAAGAGTAATAATCGCGTTTGTAAGCACAACTGAGAGAGAANGACGAGACTGACAAACAAAAAAATAGTTATTGGAAGGTGGAAAAAAAAGAAGCAAAAGAATCTCGAATGTCTTTATATATTTTTTTCCTCTTTCTTTCACTGCACAGAAAAAACAAAGTGGCGATCTGCCAAACACCACGCGTCTGTGTTTTGTATCTGTTATTTAGTCTTACTTGAGGGGGTTAAAGTCCTTGTTTTTGTTATTCCAATCATTTTTTTATATAATTGAGACGCAACATGGAAGAAAAAAAAAGAAGGAAATATCGACAAAAAAAAACGTTGCATACCTGATTGCGAATATCTATATGCTTATTCTTTTCTATTGTAAACTCGATCATTGAATAGCTCGTGTTATTTATACACAGACAACGACAAAAAAAAACAGAATTGAAAATTTTGATGACGTAATGCTGTAATAACCTGACTGAGACAGTTATGGTGAAATAAAAATTTCTATTCTCTCGTCATCGGATTGAATGTGGACGGTTATGACGAGTACAATGTGGGGAAAACTGTTGGTTTGCATGAATGCGAAACTCTTGTCTTCTACCTTGGAAATATAGCTGAGTGTAATACGAGTCACTCATATCCATTGATGATAATGCCGATCGCGTCAAAGATAATGTTCTCATTACAAAAAAGAAAGAACTGTACTTATCTGTAAGATAATGAAACAACAATTCTCTGGGTAGAAAACAACAATGAATTCAAAAGAGACTTATGTTTTCTCGATACGACTTTTTCTTCGAATGAAACTATTCAGAGCATAAGAATGACGTGAGCCGGGCTATTTATAGTAAACTCTAAGACTTTATTAATTTATGGTTCATTCTCTTGTCAAATTAGAAATTAGAGTGCATATATTTTTGCCTTCTCCTCTAGTTTATTCAAGAAAAAAGTCATATCATTGTTCAATCGTTTTGTTTTGAATAAATTTCGATGGTAGACGACCCCGACGGCCTTTTAATTCGTTAGTACGAACAACTTCTTTGATCATTCCAACTGCTAAACATTTCTGAAATCGGCACCACTAGAACGAAAACGAACAGATAAGTTCGACGACTGTCCAATAGCGAACAAAATCGTTCACCTACTTGGCAACGATTACGACGGCGTTTATCTACAAGACAATTCTTCTCCGATAGACAAACATATTTCGCATTTTTCTGTACGGTTCGCTAGAACAGAGTCCAGTTAATTGTTTTCAAAGCGAGATGAAATGCATACTTTGAAAAAGCCTTTACAACCCTCACATGTTCGAACACCATAATGATGCGATGTTGAGGAATCATTACAAACAAGACTGAAATCGATGAATTATGCCGACAATGAAATCAATTTTTCTCACCGCAAACTTACCATTGGTATTTCGGTGTATCAACATTGGAAATCGTGTGAAATCTAAAATGACTCATCCGATACTGACCTTTCCGACAAGCTCAGTAAGTCTTTCTCATACTTAGAAGAATTTTCTGGCAGTTGGAAGTTATACATGATAGTTTGTGGAGGTGGAAGACTACTATGATTTGTGTGTGCATCATTCGTTATCGATATTTCATTTTGTACATTTGCTAGTTCAACAAATTGAGACTGATTTGGCGAATAATTGATTTGTGAAGAGATATTCCAATAATCCAGATTGTACGGATAATCGTTCACACAAAACTCCGTCATTTCTTTTCTGTTTTTGTTTTGTCTTATTCGTTCTTCCTATTCGTCTTCTTGATTTCAATTTATAAATCATCATGTCGTCAGCCTTATCTCTATTCACCATCATTACGAGCGATTGGATTTCAACTTCGTTGGAAATCTATCTATCTATGATGCAATCCGATCGTCGACATTGTCGAAGAGAAAACGAGATTTCTTCTCGATCATCGCATCGTTATCATCCTACCACACAATATTTTGAGCGAATGATTTCAATGAAGAATAATCGATTCTCGTTCGTCGAGTTCATTCTAACATTTATTTTGATTAATCGACAGACATGTCATTTCAACACAGAAAGGCTTTTGATAATCAGCACATTTTTCATCATTGAAAGATACACATATCATTGCTGCTGCTCTCTCTCTCTGCTCTATACTGTTTCGAGCACTTAATTGTAAAAGAACAAACAATGAGTGAAGAACGGTGACTTTTGCAGTTCGATCAAACAAGACGTGTTTAAAGGCAGTATTCTTCATTTATTTTGTCAACCAATCTTTTACACATATGAAGAGAAAGGCGATCGAATCTCGAGGAGATATTCCATCTTTAACTTCATGTTTATAAACAATGCTTGAATAGTGTCGCGAGGAATTGTATACAAGGCTCATTGATCATTATCATCAGTAGGAGATTACAAGTGTCTTTTTCTCTTGAGCCTTTAATGTACAATTCAACAAATTCATTTAGCTGTCTCGTTCTTTTCGAGCACAATTAGACTAATAAGAGCACTCATAATGGAGCGAAAGAGAAAGAAAGGAAAGACACAGGGTACGACAATACAATCGTGTTTAGAGTAAGCATCAAGTGATTCATAATCCTATTCGTGTCAGTATTGGCGACAAATTAAATGCGTAGGAACACGTTCAAAATAGTACTGACAAGATCGCATAGACCTGCAACATGCATAATGAGCAACGAATACAGACTCCATGAACGATCCTTCTTTTTTTTTGTTGGAGACAACATGATACACTCTCGTTCGTTTGACCTAGTCGAAATAACAATTTCCTTCAAACTTTTCCAACCGGACAGAGACAAAAAAACAACATTTGTACATTGTACAGTAGTCTAACCTCATTTATTCACATCAATTAACGAACAAAAATAAAGTTGAATGCCATCGGCTAATATGATAAGTTCAATGAATTACATGCAAAACAATCGACGGTGAGTCACAGTCACAGGTGTCAGTCTTCTTCTTCTTCTTATTATCATCATCCTCATCGCTACATCCTTCAGTTTTACTCTCTTCTCACCATAGACGAACGGCCTCACTCCTCGTCTTTTTTTCTCTCTATTTCCTTCTAATGAACAAGTACGCATACATTGTGTCAGATCGTAACAGGCGATTAACACACAGATCAAGGTGAGATCTCTGTTGATCAACAAGACACAGTTGTCGATTGTTATTAAATATCACTCACACACATACAGACAACGTCGACCAGAATATTACCTTTTTTGTTGTTGTTGATTTCATCCTAGATGATGCTCCTTCATATTCTTTTCATCATTTCTTCGATTCATGCCACAACATTTCTTCGCTTCGAACAAAAGTCTTACGAAATTTACATCTCGGAATCTACACCAATCCATACGAAAATTGGCTTGATCAAAGCAATTGCCTCTCCTTCCGTTTCCATCCAGTACGAACTCCATGGAGATACGAATAAAATGTTCTATCTTCATTCTTTAACTGGTGAATTGATTCTATTAAGTCCCGTTGACTATGAAACCATGTCAATGTATCAATTCACCCTCGAAGCACGTTCACCATCGATTGCTACATCTTCATTCAGCGAATTGATCATTCACATTGTTAATATCAACGACAATCCACCAGAAATAAATCTCGTTGTCTACCCTTCGGTTATCTACGATTTAAACATCATCAAATACGATCAAAATTCGTCGTCTACTCCATTCGCGACGATCAATATCAAAGATCCGGACCCATCAACAAATCAACTAAGTTTAACTCTAAACGATACGGAACATTTTCAAATTCAACTCATACGACAGTTCAAGACTGATATCACTTATATCTTATCAACACGAAATAATTCGCAGTTAATTCATCAGGATCATTATTATTTATTATTAACGTCGTGTGATAATGATCAACCGGTGTTATGCACCAATCAAACATATCAATTTCGGATGCAATCAACAGAATACCTTTGCAATTTATCGTTTCAGCAAAAGAATTATATTATTGATATTAAAGAAAGCCTTCCTGAAAAAACGTTATTAATGCGAAAAATAACAAATGAATTTTGTGGGAAAATTGTGTATTCACTTGATGAGAATGACAAATTTTCGATTGATTCTCGTACGGGCGATTTATTTGTCATGAAAAAACTTCACCGAATTGAACAAAGTATCTACATGCTACGCTTATATGTTAATAATCAATTTAAAGTGAAGATTTATGTTCGAATACTTGATCAATATGGAAATATTCCATTTCTGATGAATAAAGTTTTGAAAATCAATCGAAATCAATTCTCATCAGTTCATATTTTTAATTCCACATTTTGTCGATCGCAATTAGTAATGGAAAAATATTTTCAACTTCTATCAAATTGTACAATAACCTCTTTAGTCAAACCTCCACGAGGTCGATACTTATTCAACGTAGCATTGAATCAACAAGCCAATTTTCAAGATACTTTTGTACTTGAACTAATTGACGATGATGAATCTGTACTCCTGTTAAATCAATCACAATGGATTACTCTCATACCAATCGTTTTAAGTGTCCTGGTTGCTATTGGAATTATCATTCTGGGAATCATCATTCTCAAAGAAAAGCATTGTCGATTTAACCAACTATGCCCTCGTAGAAAGGTTAGATGCATTGAAGACTTTGGTAGATTCTTACTTCTTGTTATATTACTTTTAGAAAGCATCATCAGTGTCAAGCACTAGTTGTAGCAATGATGAGAAGAGTCGTTACAATAGTAAGTGCACTTTCTTTTTTCATCCATTAGCAATCGAATCTTTTATATATTTCTGTACTAGAATACGATTCATTTGTCAGTGCATCAAAATTGAGAGTACATGATGATTATGAATTGTCACCGTCATCTGCAAGTATACCAATCTATATTATACAGAAGGCATCACCACCTGTTTCATCGTTGAGTCCAGGACGGGATGATGAAGGTTATTCAGGAAGTTCGGATGTATCGGAAAATCATCTACCATTTGAATCAAATATTATTTCGGGAAATGGTTTACTTGAACAGTATCATATACATGAGTTTCCAGAACATCCATCAATATCATCTGTATATGATATACCACGACAATATATGAACAGAATCAATGGATTGTGTATCTCGCCCGATATCACACTTGTATGAGCGGTGATTCTTGATTCGACATAGAATTATAATAAAAGATTGAATTTAGTTTTAAATGATATTTTATGAAATTTTGTAGCATCATGAAAATACATAGATGGAAGGGTCAGCACGATTTTCGTTTACTGTCGGGGAACTTGTGTTGGTTTTTTCCACCCAATCGATATCTTTGTGTCAATAGTCATCATTCATTATCTTTAAAACGCATACAACAGAAAACGAAATCTACACTGCGCTTTTCCAACATAAAGTTTCATATTATTTGCACACTTATAGATAAGAACAGCCTTATATTGCCATTACTAGTTTTAGAGTCGTAATACAAAAAAGTATGGGAGATACGAATAATGTGGCATCTACTTCAGCTAATAATAATTTAGAAACATTTTCTCTCGCGTGGCTCGATGCTCAAATCGATTCAACAGAAGAGAATAAACAAACTCAGCAACAGCTTCGACAAATCATCAATCACCTCAAAACATTTCATGACAAACAGCAATGTCATGACTGTGTCACCTCACTTTCTTCACAAGATCGACTTGTTCTCATTGTCAGTGGTCAATATGGTCGAGAACTAGTTCCTCAAATTCATTCACTTCGACAAGTCTCTGCAATTTATGTTTACTGTATGAATAAACAAGCACATGAACAATGGGCAAACAGCTTTACCAAGGTACTACACCACTCTGGCTTATGTCATACACTCATTTTTATCTGATGTTTTCTAGGTGAAAAGTGTGACTACACGAACCAAAGATCTCATCGATCACATCAAAGCCGATCAGAAAAGTAGAGCAAAGACGGAAGAACCACTCTCGATCAATATTATCAATGCAACTGGCACTTCAGATCAGTCCACAACTGAACTCAATGGTCATTTTCTTCACTCACTTCTTCTGATCGATGTTCTTCTTCGATTGAAACCAGATGACAAAGATAAAGATCAGCTCATCACACTTTGCAAACAGCACTTTCACGACAATCACAGTGAACTCGCTTTTGTAGATGAATTTAAGCGAGAATATTCAAGTGACAGGGCACTGTGGTGGTACAGTCGTCCGTCGTTTGTGTACAAAATGCTGAACAAGGCACTGCGAGTACAAAACATTGAGATTCTGTTTTTATTTCGTTTTGTGATCAACGACATTTATCGGCAACTGAAGCAGCATCAATGTGCGTCACCTGTTCGTGTTTATCGAGGTCAGGTGATGTCAAGTGATGAATTAGAAATCTTACGACGATCGACTGGTAAACTTATATCGATCAATTCCTTTTTCTCAACTAGTCTCGATCGACAGACAACATCGGCATTTCTCCCTAGTTCGAGTGATCTACATCGTGTGCTGTTTGTTATTGATGCTGATCCAGCTGTAGTGATGTCAAAACCATTTGCTGATGTTAGTAAACTGAGTGATTTTACAAATGAACGCGAGGTGCTGTTCATGAGTGGATGCATCTTTCGTTTGAATGGTATCCATCAAGATGACGATATGTGGGTGATTAAAATGCAACTATGTGGTGACAATGAACATGATTTGAAGACGCTGTTTGATCACATGAAGAAGGACTATGGAGGTGGTGATGGTGAAGTCGATCTTCGTTCTTTGGGTGTTGTGTTGCGTAGAATGGGAAAGCTTGAGTTAGCAGAGAAGATACTGCAGCGTCATCTGAATGAACTTCCACCGAATGATCCATCGCTTCGACGTGTATACTGGTCACTTGGCATGGTCACTCGAGATAAGGGTGATTATGATGCTAGTCTGAAGTGGTTCGAGAAATCATTGGAGATCTATATGAAAGCCAACTCATCTGATTATGTCACCATAGGAAATTTGTATAATTGGATTGGCCTGACTCACTGGAAAAAGAATGATAATGAAAGAGCATTAGAATATTATAAGAAAGCAATCGCACTGTTTGAGGAAGCACACGCTGAGGATCATCCAGATATGGCTCATATCTACAACAACATTGGTATAATCTATCAGAATCAGAAGAAGTATCACGATGCTCTCGTTTACTATGAAAAGTCATTGAACATTGATGAGAAGCATCTACCAGCTGATCATCCAAACATAGCCAAGTCATATAATAATCTTGGATGTATATATGATGCACTCGGACAGTATGACCTTGCGATGGAACGTTATTCTCGAGCACTCAGAATTCAGGAGAAATCGCTACCACGTGAACATCCAGATATTGCTCTTAGTTACGGAAACATCGGTGTAATACATGAGAAGAAGGGTGAATGGCGAGAAGCACTGGTGAACTATGAAAAGGCTGCCGAAATCTATCGTAGTTCGTTATCACCTCAACATCCATATGTGATCGAAGTCAACGAAAACATTCGACGTGCATCATCAAAACTAAGATTTTGAAGTAAATGAAAGAACGAACTGCTAATATTTAACCATGTTCATCGTCATTATTATCTACATACAGAATTCACCTCAATCTTTTTTGAAATTTAAAAAAAAACGTAATCGCTTCAGGAAGAGAAATCAGTCATTTCAAAATAACGCTGCTCACCAGGCACATATCGAATAGTTTGGTTTCTTAACACATAATCAACATAGAATACTATAACTATGACAGAACCTATCAAATTCGTACTTGTTTCCATTTGAAAATATATAAAATACCAGCCAACACTCAGTTCAATGGTACCAGTACGTATGTATTTATTGGTTTTTGTCAATAAAAACCAATAATGAATTCGTAATTTATTGCATAAACATCCGACAGAGGGAAAACGACAAAAAAAAACGAATGTAGTTCAAATCCACTCACACAAACGAAAGAAAGGCAAATATTCGTATTGATCATTAACAAGAAAACCAAAAAATAGATATTTATATGACAACAATCGTGCAAATGCAGAGAAAACAAAACAAAAAAAATTGCACACACGTACAGAGACAAAAAGAACTCGAGATTTTTTGTCGATGCTAAGAGATTTATCTGAGGAAATCTAGTTTTTCAAATTGATGAATCACTAGTTTCATGGTTCATCATTTGGAGTCATATTCGAGACCACATCATTGCCATTGTGATGTGTCATATCTCCGTTAACTGTCTTTAGTTTCAATTTACGCGAAAACAATGACGGATGACGTTTCAGTTTTGCTCGATCGTTCTAAATTGAAAATAAAGTATGCCTTAATCTGTGATCTACTGTCTAAATGGAAGCAAGGAGAAGATGTGATGACTGGGTCAACAGATAAGCAGAACGATCAGTACAAGGTTAGGTCATTTACCCTCTTAGTCATAACTGTCTATCAGGCTGAAATAATCGAAAAAATTCGTTTGTTCTTTGTATTCAGATGCATCAGTATCTTTTAACTTACTTCATCCATTTTACGATCTGTACCATTTGCAATTAGAAGACGAAATTCTCGTTCGAGAATCTGACGAGTCTAAAACAAGGAAAGGATGTTTTCCGGTAGGTTTGCGTTCGTTTCTACTTACGATTGTTTGTTGGCTTGGAATTTGCAGAGCAAGCGCTAACGCATTAGCATCGAAAGTTTCGTCAAGTGCGATCAATCCACCATGTACACCCGTTTCAGTTAAATTATTTGCGTAATCTTTCAATCCGCTAATCGATGATAGCCATTGAATAACTCGATCATTTGTCCACATGATAACATCATGATTTTCAGTGATCGATTGTTCGCGTCTTCGCTCAATCTCCTTTTTATCATAGTTAACACGTTTTAATACCATAATACCATAGTGAAAACTTGTTCTAGATGAACATAGACTAATCTGTATTTGCTTATAGATCATGTTGGAACTTACCGATGGAAACTATCTACCATTCTTAGTTGTTTACTCAAATCTTTCTTATTCAAATGCTCGAGCATTCTTGCATCTACGAGACATTCCATGAAATAGGAACGATACTGTGGTAAGCCCAAACTTGGTAACCATTCATTACCGATCCATTCATGGTCCATTTCACCAAAAGTTAACGGCTAAGAACAAGAACATCAGTTAACAAATCGCGTCTGTCTCGTTTTGCTTACAGTAACTGATGTTCGCGGACCATTGGGTGAAGTTAAGTTTAACACTTCTTGAATAGCTAATCGTAGTTTCAATCGATGTAATGGATTACTAATACCAATTTGTCGTTGAATTTCTTCTTCATTTAATTCGGACATAATAGCACCTGATTTAACGTTGGCTCGGCATGCAGCGACATACCATGCTGGCATTTTAACCCATAACTAAAAACGAAATAGAGAAATGGCAAACGAAAGAAAGTCAAATGACATACTTCAAGCCAGGCAACAACTGTTACACCATCCCACGAGGCAAAGGATCGCTTATTTCTTATGGCTTCTTCGAGTAGTTCTTGTCTAAATACAGATTTATTCACTATTGAAAATCTGAGGTTATCGTTGAATTATACTTCTTTTTCAATCGCCGGTCGAATTCAGTTGTACTTAAACTGATTACTGAAGTGCTTGTCGGCTCGAGAATTTCATTGTTATCCGTTGGTACAGGTGAAGCTAAACAATAAGCAGCGCATGGTTAATCTTTGAATAAAAGGTAGATGCATTTTACCGTGGTTAGTATAAGTTGGTTGTTGAAGAGTATCGTAGTTTGGCTTGTTATCAGGCAAATCTGGTTTTCGTGTGAACAGACGACCGAGTGAATTTCGAAGACCTTTCTTTTTATTATGCAGTTGAGTGCGATTATAAATATCATCACCTGATGTTGAGTTTTGCGAACTTATTGGACTAGGAGAGTCCTGATGAGCTAACGACGCAAGATGGCGAGAAGAAGGATTAGAGCTAAAACTTCTTCATTCGAGAATACGTTCATCAATATTGTCAATGCTTACAAGGGATGTCGAGTATTATCGTCGAGATGAAGTGTGTTTGTTCTCGAGGGTGTTGTATTGAGTCGATATTGATTGTGAATACTTGCAGATGATTGATAGATATGATGAGGCGTAGCTGTTCGAATACTGGTCGCTGTTCGAGTAGGGGTTACAGGTGGACTTGAGTCACATTTTAAATAGCGTGAAGAGGTGCTAAAATCATTGCGGAAGGAACGAGGAGATTGATGGCGCGTAGTTTGCTCATAACCCTAATCGATTTCAAATGCAAACATTGTGGTTATTCCGCAAATTAAACTTACATTGCTTTCTAATGTATACATCTGCGAAGGAGACATGCCGGAAGGAGCCTAAACAAGTCAAAACCCTTGAAGTTTTTTCTGGAAATGGTGTAGACATACGGTGTTGTATTTATAATTCTGCGCAGTTGGTGATATGGATGACGTACGAGGAGGAAATCGTCCTGAGAAGTTTGCATGCGCATTCAATGCTGTTGTCGGCGAAGAATTTCTTAGATAACGTTGTGAGATTTGTGGATGAAAATGATGGTTAGTTCCATTAGTTATCGCGTGATGTTGAAATGTTAGTCCAGTACCATCGTCATCATCATTTTCTTCATCGTCTTCATCATCAAGTCGATAAACTGAATTTCCGACGACACGTGATTCAAGTTCTTCGGCGCGTAGTTCTGCATTGACTTTTTCGGCTTGAATCAGTCGAATTTCGTTATTTATCGCGTCGAGTTGTTCTTGTAAAGCAAGTGCGAGCGTCTGTGCATCACCTGTATGAGGATGTGTCGCACCATTATTGTTTGTCACCGGATGATGATGTTGATAAAGAGAATCTTCATCATCCGTCGTTAATTCGACATCGGATGATTCAAATGCGAGACGAACATCATTTATCACTTGAGCTTGATCGATTGTATCCCAATCCGCTTCGGATGTCTGAAATCAATCGAATTGATGCAAGACTTGACAAACAAAAGCATACTTTGAATAGATGATCGTTGATTGTTGGAACAGTGAGAACTCGCCGTCTATTTAGTGAATCGGGCGAAATAGGAATTGGCTGTGAAATGTTAACCACATTGGATTGTACCGAATTGAGCGATATTTCACTATAAGTAGATTGAAGTTGAAGACAAATGAAGTAAATATTGTCGTACCTCTTCTGTTGTTTCAAATTCTGTAATTCTTTTCTCACATTATCAAGTTCAATTTTCAGTTTATCAATATTATCCAATAATTTTCTCTGAAATTCCACAAAAATTCTAACAAAAACAATCAAATTTCTCGGATTTACTCGTTCGCTTTGTGTTTCTTCCAGTTGTTTTTTCAATTTTTCACTTTCTTGTGCCATGCTATTCTTTTCTTCGAGAAATTGCATACGTTCCTTCAGTTGACTTTGCAAACGTTCATTTGACTCAGCGAGTAACTTATCCACAGTCGTCGATAACCGAGCATTGTGTTCATCGGTGACTTTTTCACGTTGACGAGCCTACAAATATCCAAAACTATATTTTCCTGTCTAACCGATTGGAAGATAAACATCGAAACGTTTTGTTATTAGTCAATACGGACAAAACAATCCCGAAAAACATCTGAATAGTTGGTTTTTCAGTAAGAAGCCACTCACGCGTGTTAATTCGATTTTCAAATCATCGTATTCGCTCTGTAATTGATGTAATTTTTCGTCATTATTCGATGATGATGAACTTCCGTTGAGTTTCTGTGATGAATCAAGATCGCCTTGATTTTGTAGCCGCTGCTCTAATAATTCTTGTCTATCGAGAAGATTTTGATATTTCTCTTCTGTCTGAAAATGAAAAAGAAAAAAAAACAATTGTGCCTTTTAACGGACTGAAGATTAATTACATGTTGAAGTTGAGTTTCTTTCGCAGCTAATTCTGTTTCTAATCGATTATTGAATTCCGTTAAATGTGCAGTTTCTTTTTGCAGACTTAAATAGCGCTTTTCTAATGTCGATATTCGCTCTTCCTGATCTTCTTTTTGTGCCTGAGATTCTTTTAAATCACGTTGATACTTCGTTGCTTGATCTTGCGTATGTGATAGATCACGTTGGAACAAACACGCACGTTCTTCCAACTCTTTATTTCGATTTGTTAGCTCATGAATTCGTGCACGAGCTGTGATTAATTCGTTACATTGATTATCCATTAACTCTTGCATTTCAATCAACTTTCCTGATAACGACTCAGGATCAATCGTTCCGTTCGACATAATCTAAATCGAAAGCATTCAATCCAGCAGACAGAACAAAAGATCATTCATACTTTTAATTGATCGACGTCAATTAGCTTTGATGATTGAGTCTCACGAACACCAGCAAGCTAAAAACGATACATACACAACGTATGTCAATAAGATTAAGAATATGATTATTCATAATGAATGTCGGTGATGATTAGCGGAAAAACATAAATAAATCTAGATGGTAAACACGAACAAGAACACATCGCGATTTGCTAATGTCTTTTCCTTCATAGTGTTCTGTCAACTAATACATATGCGTGGGTACATGGCGAAAGCGCACGGATTGGATTTTCAATCAATTAACAGAAGGAAAAAAAGATTTTCAGTTGATTCAAACGAGTTTGATGGATGAAATGACAGGGAAACAGAGTTTCTCAAGGTCAATCAGAACTTAACGACCATGACATATGTCATTGAAGAAAGACGAAGATCTTTCCCATCAAAACGTAAACATTGAAGTGCCAATACTTCGAGATGATCGATAGCAGCACATTGAGACGTGAAAACTTACTTCATTCTTTGTTCGTTCAAGTTCATCTTTAAGTTGTATATTTTTTTCAATCTCGATCTTTAATCGCTCTCGTACCTGTAGATATGTTGAATATAAAATAAATAAATATGAAATAATATTGAGAGGAAGAACAGTAACAAACTTTTTCATCTAGGGCTTTATGATGTTCAAATAGAGATTTGAGTGCTTTAAGCACTTCAACTTCGGACGAAACACCTTGAGCTTGTCTACGCATAACTGTAGTACGAATCGAACGTTCATGACGAGCAACAAGCTGTTCCAAATGTTCTAAAAGTAACTGAAAAGAAAAAGAGAAAGCAAGTTGGTCGGCGAATTGAGCAGTTCGAGTTCATTTACACGTGTGTTATTTCGTTCGGCTTTCAGTTCAGTGACTTCATCTTCTTTATCATGTAATTGTTCACGTAATTGTGCTAATTCACGAACAACCGTCACATAATCCTAGAAAAGATGAGAGATGTAGTGTTGAGATAGATAAAAACGAAGGAAAATTCTCAGTTGAGTTAACAAATAAAAACCTTATTCGACGAAAAATAACTTTGAGCAGGACTCGTTCGAGGTAATGGACGTCTATATTTGGAAACCGATGTGCAATTATCGTAGATATTCTGTTGCTCGATTTGATTGAGTAAATAGAAGGATTCCGATAGAGACGTAAATGACAGGACCGTTCTATCAAGTTGTTCTGCCCAGGCGTCATTCTGTTGATGATTAGAAAGATCTAAATCATCGATTTCATCGGACACGATGGCGCTGTCGCTACTTTCCGAACTTGCCATTGTAAATGGATTGGTGTCAGTTGATAGATCGTTATCACTACTATCATCATCCAATGAATTGGAAAAGGTATTGTTATTGTTGGAAATATTTGTCGTTAAATAAGCATAAAGATTAACAGATGAATTCATTTTACTAAGGAAACGTGAACGATCATTGTAGAAGGAAAGAGGTGATTTCGAATAACATTCGAGATTCACCATGATTTTATAACATATATAACGTACGGAGAGGATTATCCGCAATCAGATAAATAGAGACGTGATGAGTATGTGTATGTAATTGATTGATAGAAGAATAAAATAACGGACGAATTTCTCGCTCTACTCGTTCTCTTTTTTCTGCTCTCTATTTATATTATATTTCTCTCTTCTTCTGCTATTCTTCTCGATTGCCTTTACTGCACTTCAACAAAAAAAAGAGTAAATAGAAGTAAAAAATGATTATGATACAGAGTTGTTTATTGAAGTAGCTCAATCATCACCGTAACACATTTCTCCATGCAAGAACGTCTCTCATCTATAATCGTGCATTGTCATCTCTTTGACCTTGCATTTAACGGTTCGTTTCCTAGATGTCTTCTCATGAGGTTCTTTGAGAGTATGATCGAAGGTCGATAAAACACCACTGGTTTCGAAAATGAAAGAAAAACCTCAATCAGTACATTTCATTTCGTCTTTGACATCAAACGTCCTGAGGGAAAAAACGGAATCTCAGAATTAAACGATAGCAGACATATGACACCTACGAGAACAATAGGCCGATTGTTTGTTTATTAGTAAAATTTTCCGTTTTTTCCTCTGCTCGAGAATATTGATATGTTTGAGATAATATTTTTTTATCTTAGGAAAAAAAACTGCATCGTATTTCATTGGCAATATTGAATTACATCAGACAGTCGATGTATCAATTCCCAATGACATTTGTCAACAATAGAGAACAATGACGAATTAGTCCAATGGTGAAAATTATATCATGATGGTCATCGCTTACAAATATTTCAAACTGAAGTGCATCCGATAGCAACATAGACGAGGAGCATAGCCTTGCTTATGTAGAGTAAAAGATTTTAAACAGACATCAATGACAGTTGTCTATCGTTAACATTGATTGATTTAAACAGATAGTAGCCGTCGATCAATGACTAATGGGAGAGACCAAAATAAAACTTAACCAACCTGCGGAGAATTCGATGATAGTTCGTGTAGTAAACCATCGCGATCTTTTTCGATTTGAGTTAACTTATGTTCAGAATTTCGCAAGAGTTCTTCCGTATCACGAAGTTTTTCTTGTAACTAAATTGCATGTAAACAATGCGTATGATAATGAAAGAAATAATATTTTGCCTTATTTCTTACTTTATCACGTTCTTCAAGCATGGAAACCATTAACTGTTCAATATTCGCTTCAGCTTCTTCGCCAATCTCTGTTTCCATACTTTCGTGATCGAGATCATGTCCACCGGTATCTTCAGGTATCGGCGGCATTACATCACAAATCATATCAGCATACATCATTTGTTACGACTGTCTTCCGTTTGGTTCTACATGATTCGAATGAAAGATGTCAAGTATTCGATGAAAGAGATCATAATGACGCGAGAAAATATGATCTGAAATAGAATAAAGAGAAAGTACTTTTGAACAGTTTGCTCTGCATCTCAATTGACTGAATGGTACTTGTGCGTAGGACAATTAGATTTTGCTTATAGAACTGAATGAGGATAAGTGACAGACTAGAAATCGAGAACGTAGACGGAGAAAGAAGAAAAAAGATCTCATGATACTCTATCCATTCATTGATTGATTAACCATGAACGATCAACTATGAGGAAATCTTCTGCTAATTAATCGAACAAGTAAGTCCTCTCATTCACAAACGTTCTAATGCTACTAACCATTAATCAAAAGGAAACAACGTACTAACTTATAATGATATTAATACATAATCAGAATGTAATTAAGATTTCCTATTCGTTATACTCTATTTCGCTGATATACTAGACTAAATCAGTAAGAAAACTAAATAAATAGATACTTGTCCGTATATATGTGTGTACGAAGAGAGCGTCGAAAGGGGTGGAAGAAAACGGCGACAACGACGACGATGAAGAAAATCCCCTGGTATGTAGATGATGAACAGAAACAAGAAGTAGCATTTGTTGCTTTAATATGAAAAACACCCTGTCGATGAAGGACAAAAAAAGAAGAGAAAAAAGTCGAAGAATGACAACAATTACAGAGTAAATGACAAGACAAAACATAACAGGAAGCAAATAAATGAATTACATTGAATAGTTCTATCTATGATTAAGTAGACAGGAGTCGATTGTGTATTATCGACAGGTTCAAACAGGCATAAAATGGAAATATTGACATTGAAAGAGTAATCGAGAAAAACAAAGGTCATCTGATGACCTGCTAAATGAAGAGCCGATTAAAGGTAGTTCATGCTTAACGAATTGATAAAAGAACATTCGAAGAACTCTCAACGACAAGAAAAAATAAATAAATAGACAATCATGTTTATGATCATCGATCGTCTATTATCATCCTTGATCGATCGTTTGAAATAAATGAGTCTATGGACAGTATCTGTATTATTGCTCATAAAAGCGAAACGCTTGACTACGAGCAGTGCATGTCTATGTGTATGTGTACATCTCTACGATGTCGGACAGGGTGCGTGCATGTATACATTTCTTTGCTTGTCTCATAATGGGATAGACAATTGCGTGAAGCGTAGAAGAAAAGAAATGATCTTTATCATTGAAAAAGAAATGCAAAGAAAAAGAAAAATGTTAAAAGATATCGCGCTTCGGTCACTCATCAATTATGTTCATATATAAAATCAAAATAAACTAATGAAATGTGCAGTTGTCTAGAAGATAAACTATGAAAAAATTTACCAATCATATGTCATAGTCAACCGTTCATTAAAAAGACTACAACTCGAATCATTTATCAAACGTGAGCTTTTATATCCGTTCCATCGCGGTCAAGTTTATCTTACCAATGGTTATTCTCAGACAAAATATGGTTGAACCGAAGGAAAAATATTAATTAACCTAGAACGTTTAAGTCGTCAATCAAAAGAGACAAGAGATTTGATGATAAGATACAAGAGAAGAGAAGGATGACTAAACAAACACAATAAGTATAGTCTATGATCCAATGAAGAATTTTTTCGATGAATTTCAACAGTCGAATTGTCAGAAGTATGTTCACAGAAAAAAATTAGTATTAATATCTTACTTTTAACGAAATATTTCGCAATCGATTCCGAAACGTTCTGTGTAGACCAGCGCCATCTAGTCCTGCAGTGAAAGTGAGAGTCATCAACTCTTTGCTCAATCTGAACAGCAGAACTTATGATGTTGATATATCGCGCATCGAGGTTCGTACGTGAACTTATTGAAAAGAGAAAACGATGTACGAAGTAAGAAGATAATCAGTGTAACAGAAGGTCATTCCCTCGAGTGTGAATTAGATTGAAGAGGGAAAGAGAGAGAGAAAGAGAAGAAAAGACAAATGACTTCTTGAACACAGCAGGATACAACTTATTAAATAAACTTCATCTCATTGTATAGATCAGTTCGACGTCGTTTTATGTTTCGCCGACAACAGTTAGTCCTATTGTTGAACATCCAAAATTGTGATTCTACTGAATAACGTCCAACGGAAAAATATCGAAAGTAAAGATGTCGAGAATAAACGATACTGAAAACACAAACGGCACACATGTCGAAAGATAAATATAGTGAAAACGGTATAGTTTAAAAGTGTAAATCTTTCTCACCCTCGCCCCTCACCCTTTCGACTAAATCAGGCTAAACTCATATATATAAGTAAATTTGGGTGAAACTCAACTCACTGTTCCTTGATAAACAAGCACTGCGAAAACGAGATACCCAGTTTTCGAACAAATATCTACATGTCTTCCCACTGTTCTTTTCGATCAATTGATTGTTTCCATGACTAAAATAAACGAAATCAGATTGACATCACTTTACCACCACTCTTCATTTATACTTCTAACACTTCGAAATATTTTTAGTTGCTCAAATACTGTTTCATATGTCTGAATGTTTGAAAGTATTAAAGTTCGAACTAGCTGATAACGGAACGTACATGGGCCTTAAACATGAGTAAAGCGATTATGCTTGAGAAAGAAACCATGTCCTTTCCATTCTTTCTCTTTCTCTCCTTCATTACTGAACAATGTGATCAAAATATACAAATGAACAGCCCGTTGAATTGATCTTTATTAGAACGCTCCAGTTCAGTACAATGTGAAAAGTTAACACATAGATCATTCAAGTTTAGTCTTCATTTGAACATATGACGACAAATGTTTTCGAAAGAACGATTGCAAGAAAAATCGTCAATGCATTTTGCATATGCATCCCAGTCCATGTGTGGCAAAATACTTGCCATAGACTAACTAGAAATACGTATGTTGAAATCAATATATTGAAGCTGTCAATCAAAATACCGCGTATTTAATTTGAGTGAAAAGCATGACGATTCACTATGACTTTGTACTATACAGTAAACATCATTGATATGATATATCATATACCTTTGATCATTTTTCCTATCATTAATAGTGTACCGTATGTTGATTGTATTAGAAGTACATTTTTGAAACGCAAAATCAAATCTGAGTTTCGAGAAAAAAAGAATTATGTTATTCGAACGCCATCTCGGTGCGTGTAGCATCAATGTCGCCAGTTACTGGTTGGAAAGAAAAACAACTCCTTTTTGATTCTATCTTTTCACATTGTATGACTCATCGGAGTGAGACTTCCGTTTGGCTTAAATGGCTGGCTTGAGTATTTTTATTCTATCTCTGGTTTTATTAAACTTTTATTTATTTTTCCTATTGCAAGAAAATATTTTTTCGCTGAAAGCTAAAACCAGAAAATATCTCTGTTTGAATCATTCAATTTAATTATCGTACGTAAAGAAATAGAGGAGAAAAACATAATTTCATCGTGCATAAGCAATATCGTCTTATGTCTTACTTAACCATGATGTTATTATTTACTTTTGTATCGAAATATTTCGACACGCCGAGAATATTTAGTTGTTTTTTGTTTTTCTTTCATAAATGACTCATGATGTTTGTTACACATGTCAGGTTAAGTTTTGCAATTTCTGTTTTCTTCTAGATAGTCTTGTATTTGGTGTACACATTCTTCAGTTGTTTTGTGTGTGCGTGTGTATTGTGTTTTTTTTAAAAATAAAGTCTCTCAATGACGGCTAAAGAAGATTTAGTCGAACCCAACACAAATGGAGACGGCCGACCAGTTATAACACCAACAACGGTCAATTTAACCGAACAACAACAAGCGCCACCACCTGATTATGAAACTTCAATCAAACAAGAGAATGAAATCGAAGAAGCTGAGGACGACAATGAACCTGGTAAATAAAACAGAATCATCTAGTTAAGTATGTTGATTTGAATTCTATCTAGTTGTTTTTGATGACAATGGTGAACCGAAATTTCCCACTGATGACTTAACAAAACTTGAAGAACAACTCAACCGAGTGCGATGGATTGTCCCTGTTCTAGCTGATGGCGAATTAATAAAATGCTTACGAGCTGCTGTTCGTCTTGCTCGCGAAAGTATATTTACAACAATTTCGAATCAATCTGTATACCTAATGATTTCTGTTTGTTAGAACTTGATACAAAAAGCGAAGCATGTCAACGATTTATTCGTGATAGTCTTGTTATTTCATTTACGAAAATCTTCTGTGATGATGCTGTTCAATCATGGAAGTATGAAATATACGTAGGTTGATTTGTCAAGGACATAGCTTTCGATCAAAGATTGACTTTTGCTTAGCGTGCTATTTATAAAAATGCCATGGTTTGTGTTCGATTATGTGTATTGAAGTTAGACGATGATTGTTTACCCTTATTGGAAGTTCTTAGTTTTATTATGAATCCACAAGGACGGTAAGATGATCTTGCTGAAAATGGAGATATGAATATAGCATGCTGATTCCATCGTGTTTAGTTATCACCAAGCAAATTACAATCGATCGTGCTCGTATCAACTGCAAAATACCAGCGAATCTTTCTCATCATTATTAGAATATCGTGGTGTCCAACGAGTATGCCTTTTCTTGACAAATTCGTCATGTTTACATTCTTGAATTTATTTTCCAGGGTTGGCTAGTTGATTTTATAAATAAATTCGGCGATCTTGGTGGTTTTGACAAACTTCTTGCTCGTTTTACTTCGTCTGAAACCAAATTGACAATCATCCTTGTTGTTGCATTGCTCAAACCATGGGGTCTTTGCTATGATTATTTAACACAATCAACGATAAAAAAATACTTCGAACCAATCATTGTAAGATCTATTTGGACAATCTGAATGAAAGTGAACTAATTTGTTTTGTCGTTAGGAATTTGTTTCACAATATCTTGATCAATTATCAGAAAATGATCTTAAACTGGAGACAAAAAGTGAATCAAAGAGTGATACGTTATCAGCAGTC